AGTTCTAATCTATACGATTGTTTTTCTTAAGGAATGACAAATTGTCTTGCAATCAAAATAAGCAACCACCGCAAGTTCAAAACAAGGTGTTGGATATAGTACAGACTACAGACACAAAAGAACAGTCTGCCAACAAAACCAAGTGATAACAAAGTTTCGGCCAATGTTAAGTGATACATTTGCTCACATTAGACTTAATTTTAGTCTTGACATCAACCTGATCAAGAATCTTATGCAAGGGAAGTGAATCCCCCTTGGCATTTGCACGATGGAGGGGGCTATTCAATGCAAAAAAAGAAATGTTAGCACACACTAGTATCACAATGCAAACTGCCACCATATTTAATGATGGTAAAGACTGTCTTCACTGAAATTTTTTTGCCTCAAATCTTTATGATTCTTAACCTTTAAAATGTTAAAGCAAATAGCAATTTTTCCTTCCTTCCAAAAGAAATAGATGATCGAAAAAGTAAACAAGTTGCACTCCAATTTATCAAATGTAACTCCATGACGTTGTCTCAGTAAGAAAAATATTTTGAAACATCTCAAACATCACTTATAGCTATGGATATCAAATAAAATCCAAAATCATACAGAATTTGGAGCAATAAGATTACACAATGGGGGAAGAATAGATATTAAAGAACATAATGGCACAAGACGACAATAATCTCAAGCTCTAGGACATTTTTTCTTTAATAATTAATAATGCATAAAATTGTATAGATGTGCAGAGTGAATGCAGAAAGGCACCTATAGATTCAATCCACTGAATTCATGTCTTCAAGAGTAACAGTAGATTCACCCTACGAAAATACAAAAATGTTAGTCATAGAACACCACCTTCCTACCAACTCAAAAATCAAATTTTGATCCGTCTACACTCTATACACTGAACTCTTGACAGCTCCATAAATTCCGGCAACTTTCCATACAGGGTGATAGATAGCCTCCATTGTTTCAACCCATTCTTTCCATTTCATTTGTTGATCCCTACATCTATTACAACCATTAAAGGAGACTTTCAATGAAATGGAAAGAATGGGTTGAAACAATGAAGGCTATCCATCACCCTATATGGAAAGCTGCAGGAATTTATGGAGCTGTCAAGAGTTCAATGTATAGAGTCTAGACGGATCAAAATTTAATTTTTGGGTAGGTAGAAAGGTGGTGTTCTGAGACTAACACTTTTGTGTTTCCGGGGAGTGAAGCTACTGTTACTCTTGAAGACATGAATTCAATAATTTGAACCTATTTTTATCCTAGACAATTGAAAATAATAAAATTTCAAACGGACCATGCACAAAGATACATTGGGCTCCCTCCACCTACAAGAACATACCTTAGGAGGTTGGAATTCACAAACATCAAGAGCACCACAACATCAACCAAAAACAAGGCTTGAATAGTTATTTAACCACAAAATATAGTAATATCAATTCCAAACCAAATAAGCCCTCACAGAGAGCAATCCCACAGAGCGCTTCCAAATTAAACAACTCCAAACGCTGGAAAACAATTGAAACCAGCAAACCCAACCAGATATAGATAAACAAAAAACCAAAGCAGACCTTGGTAACAAATATTGAAGCAACAAGGACAAATAAGGACTGGAGCAGTGGATCCAACACAACATCACGAAGATTGATCAGAATAAACTGATGTTGCAATTAAAAAATTGTAGATCTTCACAGATGCTGGATAAGATAGCGAAACATTCGAAATCCAGTCTACAAAAGAAAAAAATTGTCAAAAAGATCTTCGGCCTTTGCCGAAGGTGAGGGAAACTGGTAACTCATGGATGAGTGACCCAAAGCAGAGAAAAAAAGTAAAGAAATGAAACCTTAACTTGGCTCTGATACCATGTCACTCATAAGGTATGGAGAATAATTTGTATATTACTCAAAGAGAACAAAGATATAAATACATGAAGAGAACAAACTAACTATGATGACTAAATATTCAAATCACTAAAATTCAATTGTATTATCTATATCATTAATACTCAGATTTTGTAATACTAATAATACGGAGAAATAAGTTAGGGTGGGAGTACCAGGTAGAAATTAGCCGTGTTGAAAGAGGTGAAAATGCAATAAAATCAGCAGAAACAAATTAAGCATAGAATTTAAGTTGCTACAAGGAGAAAACCACTACAGGAACGCTAACAGAAGGTAGAGGGTGAAGAGGACACAAATGGAGCAATGACATGTATTCAGAACATATAGTGATGAAATATGACATGAGAAGAATCCTGCTAACTCTTAGCAAACAGGATCTGGTATCATTGCTGGGAGTACCCATTTTGCATTATAGAAACTACAGAAGGGGTCAAAGATGTCAATCGTTCAGTTACTAATCCAGATTGACTAAATGCAAGATTCTCAAAATGTATCCATCATCGAAGACAATGAACATGTATAGATACATACCTGATGAAATGGATAAAGATGATATTGCATTAGTGGAAGCTTTAAACTTGTGCAGCAAGTTCCCTGACATGGAATCAATTTTGCAAACCAGTCCATCAGCACTAGTCGTTTAAATGAATTAACCATGTGAAGTCCAAGAGAGGGCCCAACATGAGCACAAAAGAGAGCTGAAATTTCAGCCCAAAGTGTGTTGAATTCTCTCCCAACAATGGCTGAAAATCACAACAATATAGAGCCCAAAAATAAGATGAAATCATGTGGGCTTTGGGTGTAAATTTGCCAATTTTCTTCTTATTCCTGTTAGCTAATTTTAGGAAGAAGTTTGATATTTTTTTAATATGTTTTCCTAATTTAAAGTTACATAGTTTAAAAGTTTTCTAATTAAAAGTAGGATTTGAATCTCATGCTATTTTGAATAGGTTTTTCCTATATGTAGGGGTGGATTTTGTTATTTTCAAAACACATGAATAATATTATTTGAGAGGTTTATCTCCTTTACACCTCTGTGTATGGTGACTATGAATTTATCTTACAACATTATAAGAAACGATTCTTTAAAGGTAAATTAAATTCTTAACATTATATCTTTGGTTTCTATTAAAGTAATTAAAGAATGTAATTAGTCGTTTATTAATCGTTGTCTCTAATTTCTTCTAAATAGGGGTCTACATCACTTTAGATCTAAGTTCTTGAATTGATTTTATTAGTACATCACTTTTACATATTTTTTCTTGTTTATTCAAGTAACCCCATTTTTATAATTGAACCCTAGGGTTTCTCTATAAATGGGTTCCACAATTCCTGATTAACACTCAATACTTACAATTTTACATAAGCTTAAACTATAAAGCTTTTTGTTCTCAAGTTTACTTGAGCTACATTGTTCGTAAGCAACAACACAAGCTCATAATCTAGATTCTAAATTAAACTATTTATTATTGTTCTTGCACTCATTTTATCGTTCCATTGTTGTCATCTATTTTATAATAAGGTCAATTTTATCCGTATGCCTTTAAACCACCCTTAGAAATTTAATTATACCATTTTACGCTAAACAACATCATACAAAATGAAAAAAGAAGAACTAAAAAGGCACAACATATACATGCATGACAACATTAATTCTTTTTTCCTAAAAGTAAAAGTTGAATAGCTGGAAACTATACGAAAAGTATAGTTAGCTACAATTATTCACGTACGAAAAATGGTGAAAAGAATTAATTAATACGAGTGAAAATTCACTTGAGGGAAAAATATTACCTTGACACGACCATCACCAGAGCTGATAGCAAAGAAGTTCAAAGAGGGACTGAAACAAGTCAAGATGTTCCTAATATTTGATGTTCCCATTGCTGAAATGAAGCTTAGGTTAAGAACTTTGGCTTGTGGTGGCGTGTTAGACGGTGGAAATGGGGGTGGCCGCTGAAAATATAAATAACAAAGTTTTATACTTGCGCGCTGAAATAATGTGGCTTCAATTTTTTATACTTATATTTTGGTTTGTGTGGTTAGGGGAGGGCCGGAGGAGGTTGTGCTTTATTTATGTACCTAACTCTTATTTAGTCATGGATTTCAAAGTTGAAATTCGAAATTTGAGTTTTTCAAATTGAGGTTTTGTGAATGGAAGTTTCAAATATTCTAACACTGTTTTGACCTAATTTTTGGGAACGTGAAAATATTTGAAGATCAGATTTTCAAAATCTGATCAAATTTCACGGTCAAACATATATTTGAAGATGAATTTTCAAAACTTACTCCCAAAATTTTGTTAGAAATTTTACGGAAATACTATGTCATGGGATAGATGAGGTGATCTTATTTATGTTGAGGTCAAGAACATGGGGATAGCTACAACTATGGAGGCAGAGGTTAAAGAAGTCTAGGAAGCTCTACAATTTTGTTTCAGGAAAAATATGAATCATGTTCATCTAGGATCTGATTCCCTAGTATTGAAAAACATGATCACTAGAAGTTGGAAAATACCTTGGTTAAAGAAGTCTAGGAAGCTCTACAATTTTGTTTCAGGAAAAATATGAATCATGTTCATCTAGGATCTGATTCCCTAGTATTGAAAAACATGATCACTAGAAGTTGGAAAATACCTTGTGAGTTAGTAGATATGATGGAGGAAATGCATGACATGGTGTTGAAAATCAGAGTACAAGTTTCACATATTTTTAGAGAAGCAAACCAATTGGCAGAATACATAGCAAATTTAGCAATAAATAAAGAAGAAATAAAGACATTTCAGAATTTCATTCAGTTACCAAGTATGGGAAGAAGGATTCTTAACAAAGATAAACAACAAATCCCTTCAGTTCGCATCAAGAAAAGAAGAATTAACACTAACAACAATGGACATCATGCTTAGTTACAGATCAGAAGACACATTGTTCCACAACTATGATATGTACAGGTTAGATATTAGCTATGTTGGGAGCAAAAAAGATGTTAAGGAACCTATCATATTTCTAAGCTATGACAACTAGCAAAAAGGGACACAGGGACCAGCAAAAAAGAGAGAGTATAGAGGCCAAATCTGATTTCAAAAAACCTTCCAGCAAAAAGATGAAGCGAAGGAGCTACAAGATCTTCTTCTATTTTGCTTCACCTGCAAAATAAAGAGAATCAAAATAGGAATAGAAGCAACAGGGAAGATGGTAATAGCGAGTCACTTACACAGATTTGCATGGAGGAAGCACAAGGCACATACTCTCTTTCAATTTCTTCACGAACTCAGGCTTTCTAACCAGACAACACACCTACAAAGAAAACATTGTCAGCTGCGAAGAAGGAGCAAGAACTCAACATGGAAAGATGAGGCATACCTTTGAGAGATGATATCTCTAGCATCCATCATAAGTCGAACATGAAGGATGTTTATCACCCAAAGAAGGAGGAAAATCAAGTCGGAGCAAGGGGACAATGACAAACATTGGGATAGAGGAGAGCTGAGAAAGAGGAGAGGAAGAGAAAGAAAGGAGAAAAGGATAGCTCATTTAGAAAACCCTAGTATTAGGGTAGTGCCTTTATCCACTTGGTTTTGCCAATTTGGGCCGATCAGGTTGAACCTTTTATTAATGATGTTTGGCCCAGTTATTTAATTAAAAAGATGGATCTTGAGTCCAAATTTAATTATTTTTTTTAAATATCCCCAACACTAGGCATGTAAAAAATACTATCTTTAAAGATATTTCATCTGATTGTATCCTTGTATTCAACAAGCTCTTCTTATATATACAAAAGTTAAAATCGAACAAAAAATCAAGTAGGAAAAAGAAAATTCAGCATACTAGAATATATGAGGAATTAATATGTTTATATCTTCTCTTTTTCTCCCCAAAGAGAGAATACAATAAGCATATATAGGTGTGAAAAAACTCAAAATGATCACAACGGGAGTAAATGAGATAGGTAATTATGGGAAAATATTACAAATATCAATTGCAACATTAATATTTGAATCAGAAGTAATGACCAATCTTTAATGGATAAATATAAAGATTAGCTATTAAGGCTATAAATGGTCTTTTCAAATGTAGTAATAGAAAAAAAAATTATTTTGAGATACTCCTATTAAATAACATTTGTAAAACATTTATGGTCAAATACTAACTTAAATTGAAAAATAAAAGTGCAATCCCTACTCAAGCTTCTTTAACCTTTTCCCTTCATCATCTCATTTCCCCCCTTTAATTACTTCTTATGATTGAGTTTAATTAGATAATGTTTGATCCTTATATAAGTTTGATTTAAGAAAAATATAAATATTACCAGATATTGAACTTTAAAAAATAAGAGAATACAAAGCAAATTTATTATTTTTGAGATTTAGATTTTATTTCACTATTAAAAGTGATGAAATTGCTATTAAAAATTATGTATCAAAAATTATAATTCAAATTTAAAATTAACTTGGATCAATTTTAAATAAAAATATATTATTGATTTTTTTTTACATAATATATTATCGTGATTATCATAATTTGGATTATCAAGATTTCAATAGTAAATATTTGAAAAAACTAGTGTGACTCTATACACAGACTTATTATTATTATGTAGAGGTAGAGAGTTATAGACTATTTTTGGTTTCCATCTGTACGCAGTGGAATACCTACTTATTAAAATCCGACTAATTTAAACTCATATGGTTTAAAACTATATTCAAGAGGAAAGGATTCGAATTTTGCCGTAACAAAGGGGCTCGAATCTGAGACCTAAGAGATAAAAGAGAAAAAATTAGAGTTTTTGGCCAAAATCATCCTTAAACTATACCTCAAACTTAAACTATATCCTTAAAGTAGTATTCCTAGCAGAAAACATATCATTCAAGTATTTAAAAGTGAACAATTTTCATCCTTCTACTTGAATTTATCATAAAACTAACAGATCCCACAAAAATCAAATCATCCCTTCGTAATTATTATTCTTAGATACGCAAAAAAATCTAGTGTGAACTTTTTCGGTGATTGAATTAGCATTATGCCAAATCTTTTAATTTGACAATTTTTTCCATTTATTTTTCATGTAATTTGATATTAAATATATTATTAGTTGAAATATGTTTCTTCTCAATTGAATATGCTAGAAGCGGCATTTGTTGGAGACTTCCGCTTCTAATCATGTAGATTGAAACTCATATGCGAGACATAATCAATATTTTGATCATTTCAATATCAGATTGGCCCAAAAAATTATTATCTAAATACAGTTTGGCTATGAAAAAGGTAAAGATAATTAAGCTCCAGTTTCTTTCCATTACTAAATGAGAAAAGGAGAAAATCATGTATCCTCACCTTCCAAACATTTTTTTGTTTCTGTAAGCAATAATATCTAAGATTCTTAATATATATTTTTCAGGAACTTCTTATAGGAAGTGATGAAATTATGCAGGAAAACTTTTGTTGATAGTCATGTGAACTGGTCATGTTTTTGTTGGATCCCTTAGTTTTTTAACTATATCTAACAGAAGCATGAAAATTGTTCACTTTTTAAATACTTGAAGGATGTTTTCTGCTAAGAATGATATTTTAAAGATGTAGTTTAAGTTTGAGGTATAGTTTAAGGATGTTTTTGGCCAAAAACTCCATAATTTTCATCTCCAATTTAATGTTGTAACAGCAGGGTGATCCATTGAAAGTAAACAGCATATTGATTTCTTTTTGCTACCATCTAATTTCCAAATTGCTACATGTCGATCACTAACATCAGAAGAAAGAAAATGTCCCCCATCTTTAGAGAAAATCATACAAAAATAGAACAGAAGATGTATACCAAACCTATGCTGCCTTGACTCTTAAAAATGTCAACAGGTGCGTGTTAGATCCTCTAAAAGTATAGTGCATCTTTGGAGGATCCTACACAGGTGTGGCAACTCTATGGAGAGTCCAAGCAACATAGTGACACCCACAGGGTGGTATTGCTTTAGTGGAAGCTTTAAACTTGTGCAGTAAACTCCCCGTCATGGAATCAATTTTGCAAACCAGTACATAAGCACCAACCGTTTAAATGAATGAACCATGTGAAGGGAATGAGATGGCATTGACACCACTGCTCATAAGCGTAGAATTTCAATCAATGCAGGGGAGATATGCCATATCATAATCTTAATATATGATAATATTTAGATAAATATAGAAAAATTCAACTTTGAGCTGTGAGAACGATAAATATAGAAAGACTAGAGAAAAGCTTCAAGATGGTGACAATACAAGATCTGTGATCTACAAGTCATTACTACTTCTGCTAATATTTTTTTATGACTAATAGTTCTGCTTCACTTTTACAAGTTCAGGATTCCCAGAAACTAGAGTTCCAGCATAAAGCCATATATTAAGGAAGTCACAACAAAAGCAGTAAGCAACTAATGACAATAGAAAAACAAGAGTGAAACATTGGAAAATTTTACAAAATTTCATAAAAAATCTCCCTTCTTGAAAGTTGGACACATGTGCTAGACATCAAACTCCAAACCTCTCTTCTGGGTAACTCTACGCATTAAACTTAGGAAGATGGGAAAAAATCACATAGTTTATCCTAATTGGCTCCCATACATGAGATATAAATTCATTCAGATTAGTTATGGCCATCATCACTTAAAAATATAGGTCATAGGTGAGAGGCTAATCTGGGTAGATAGTTAAAGGCTCGGGAGACCATGATTATAATATCAACCTTGTGAGTCAGTGAAATTATAGAAATTAGCATAGCAATTCCATATACATATGAAGAGATTACGTGTCACGTCCCAAGCCTACACCTTGGACGAGACTGACACTCGAGAACCATTGTTGGCCCCAAGTGAACCCTTGACCTAGCTTAATACTCAACGGAAGACTTTACTCAACAAAGATAAATTCATGAAATAAACTAAAATGTTGTAGAAACATTCAACTAGCCCATAAGGCAACTCAAGTCTCAACATAAACGGAATGAAAATGAAAAGACTAATGAACTACAACTATATGTCTATGAAGCATCTAATACTATGAGGGATGTTGGGACAAGATCCCCGATCATCCTAACAACTTAAATGATAAAGAAATATAAAAAGGGATCCTCTAGAAAGCAAGGAGGCTCACCAAATGACTCTGAAATGTTCGACTGGATCAACGAAGCGCTTGATAATGATCCTGGTTACCTATATCTGCATCATAAAATGATGCAGGCCAAATAGCCTTAGTACATAGAAATGTACGAGCATGCGAGAGGAATTCTAAACAAAACGTAAGCTTGAATTGGATTATGAAAGAAATACTTACCTCAATTTTACTCAACTCAATAACAACAATAAAGATGCAGTTTATATAAAGCATTTAAAATAGTAGATAGATAACATCTCGAAGTATTGGAAAATACAATAATATCTCTGTTTACGAGATTCTCTAACTGACAACCATCACTATGAGCTATGTAATGATACAACGTCTCGTCCACACTGCCAGAACTGTCCTATAAATTTCTGGGCTATAGAGTCGATCCACTAAGCTATGCTTAAAAGCATTAAGGAATCATCTAAAAAGTATGATCCTTTCTACCCATGTTGGCTACATGGACGTTTATGGAGACTTGAGTTATTATGAACTTGTCCCCATATCAGTGCTCAATACTAATCCCAAAATATACTCAGCTCATATGTTTAAAAACATAACTCTCTCTCTTTGGTTTGAGATTATTACTCAAAAACTAGCTCAAAAGCTCTCTTGGAAATCGGTGTTTCCTCTCTTGTTTTCACTCTTTGGGAATACTTAGTTCCCATATAATCTTTTAAAGAAAATGAACTTCACTCTTACTCTTACTCAACTCAATGCTCAAGTCTTAAAACAAGTTTAAAGCATTTGTAAAAGACTTTTGAAAAGACTCTAAGAACTATTTAGACTTGGCTTTTAACTTTTCTTGAATTTGAATTTATGGATTCAAAGTTATGATTCATATTTATGGATGATTTCTAGATGTTTAGAAGTCATTTAGAGTAGTTAGAATCGATAGGAAGTGAAAGAACACTTTAGAAGGACTCAGACGGGATAAACGATGAAAAACAGAGGGGCCGGAGACCCTGGCGCACTATTGGCCAATGCTATGAGAAGGTCCACTGGGGTCGTGAGATCTGATGAGCCCTCTCGAGTTAATATTTCAAAACGAGCCTCAGTTTCAACTACTCACTCGGCACACCAGTCACATAATGCCTCTACTCATGTGGCTCCACAATCTGGTTATACTATATCTACACCCACTGTGGTACCTAGTTCGGGTTACCAAACATAGCAGGGCTATTCACATCTTGGTCGTGGGTCTACCATACCATCAACTAGTGCTAGTCAGTGCAATAGTTTGAATACTAGTAGTGGATCAATTGGACTTT